CATTCAGTCTCTTCCTCTCAAGCACCAATGGGACTATAGGGACCTCTTTCATAGAAATACAGGAGAAGGGTAGGGAAGAGAAAATTACAAATGCTGAGAGTTTTTTGTGTCCCCGCTGCCTGTGGTGTTGCTTTATTGGTCTATGCTTGTGTAAGCTGGCTCATTCTAGTTCTCCCCTGGTCTAGTTGATGTCACTGTGGCCATGGTGCAGATCATTGCCATGACTAGGTTGGCTGCCTGTTCTTGGAAAATTGCAGTTTCAACTGGATTTCATATGCCCTCAAGCTATCCAAGTATGGCTGAATTTTCATGGATTCCTGTCTCCAGTGCCCCAGCTTCCTCAGCTGGTCTGTTATGAACTTTTTTTTCAGATGTTCATACCATTGGATTGTCTTTTTCTTGGCCTTCTCCAAAGCTTTCTCCTTTAAAAACAACAACAAAAAAGATTAGGATTATGAAGCCACTTCACAGTAAAAGAGACATCTAAGGTGAAAAATGTGCCTGCTGGATCCAATATTCATTCCCTAAATACAGTTATATGATTCATTAGGGATCTCAGTTTCCTAATTTGTAGAAAGTGGGTATTAAGCTGGAAGACCCCTGTGGTATATTCTGACAGTCTGCAGCTGAGGAGACTCATATTTACTTTACTTGTATTTCTATTGGAAGGCTGATCAGAAAGCAATAGGGGGCTAGGGTGGTAGGAAGGTGCATCTTGTTTATTCCTTCTCCCATAATCCTGTTATTCTGTCCCTGTCAACCATTTAGTGTTTTCCACAAATGGTCTTACATCACCATGAATTTCATTCATTTCTTCAACTACATAAATTCTGTCCTGTCCCCACCAGGGAACAGGTCTGGGGAGGCACAGCCTATGTTTTCCTCATTTAGTTATTTTAGTGCACTAGATGAGGGAGGTGATGCTAAGAAAAATCGGTCACAGGTATTCCCAGTAACTACACTGTATCAAGGGAGACATGTGCCCAAATATGTCTAAGCCAGGCAAAAAGGGATACCCCCTAGAAGGAGACAGATATGAAGAAAAGCTGCATAAAGCTGAGGATGTAGCTCAGTGACAGATCACTTGTGTAGCATGTACAAGGCCCTGAGTTTGATTTCTAATACTGAAAACAAGAAGCTGCATGGCAGGATTGACATAAATTGTGCTTGGGCTTTGAAGGATAAGGAGGTTTGGGGCATCTGATACAGAATCTGACTTTTTTTTCTGTCACAAGGGTAAAGGTAGAACCTAGGGCTTGCACATGCTAGACAAGTGCTCTGCCATGAGCTGTATACTCCCAGCTCCAGCTGTTTTTGTTGCCCTTAAGAAGGCCTGGCATCATCTTTTAAGGATTTCCCACTCTTCTATGTCAGGATCCCATGGACTCATCTGTCTTTGACCCTGGAACATGGAGGGAAGCTCAACAGCTAAGAAGGGGACAGTAGCTGAACTCTGCGTTGCCTGCTCTGCTTGAAGAAGTGAGTGTGTTCTTAGAGTTACTCTTGTTTATGTGATTCTTTTTAGTACCTAGTGTTGCCTGTTCCAAGTGGTTCCTAAAGACATGTTATATGAAGAAAGATCTATGGGGAACAGTAGAGTGACAACTCTTGGGCTTTTGAGTAAGGAGGCCAAGTCCTACTTGGCTGTAAGCAAAAAGTGGAAGACCCTCTGTTCTCATATGGGAAATGGGAAACCCCCAAAGGAAGAAAAAACTGAGCAGATAGTATTATGCTAATTCAGGCTCCAGGACCTGAAAATGTATGGGAGATAGCAAGAATACATTAATGGATTGCCTAGAAAGATCATGTGCCTTAAGAAGAAATGCCATCAGAGCCAAGAGACATGGAATCTTTCTCCCTGCTTCCTTCAGCCTGGAACACCTTAAGCAAATCAATAACAATTATCAATTGCCTCCTCTGTAAAAATATGATCTGCTTTCATGGTTCCATATCACATGTAGGACAGGAGGTAGGCTCTTCCCCCTGCCCCAGGATATGGGGAGTGTGAAATGCATTTGGGTTTATCCAGTAATGTCCTCTAATGCAAATGTAAAAGCTTGTAGCTACTTTACCTGCAACTCATAGGTTCGCTGGGCATAGAGGTTATCACGCATGATCACCTGAGATAAACGACTCTTGGGTAAGACTTTTTTCACAGCTGCTTCAGTGCAATTCATTAAGCTGGAATGGGGATGGGAAGTTTGTACAGGTTAGAGATGGCTGGTGGGTCAAGCACCTGACGACAGGGATCCTGGGGAATGGGCTGAGGCCTCCCCAGGTTTGTTTGTATCTTTCTTTCTTTAATGAAAGGCATGGCAGGCATAACACCACTCCCAGCACAGAGGAGGAGGCTTCCAGGCCACTGTAGCACCACTCCCAGCGTAGAGGAGGTGACACTCCCCCCATCGACACCCCCTCCCATGTCCAAATGAGAAGACACATAAATGAGCCTCAAAACCAGACTTCCAGATCACCTACAGCAACCCCAAATGGAACTGAGATGGAACAATCTGATACTCAGCCACCTGGACACCCTGAACTGGCAACAAAAGAGGATCTGGAAAAAATGAAATCAGAAATAATTTCTCAGATAACAGCAGAGATTGTGCTC